ACACATTATAACTCACGCGCACGCACAGACACGCACACATTATAACTCATGCGCACGCACAGACACGCACACATTCTAACTCACGCGCACGCACAGACACGCACATATTCTAACTCATGCGCACGCACAGACTCGCACACATTCTAACTCATGCGTACGCACATCACGCACACATTATAACTCACGCGCACGCACAGACACGCACACATTATAACTCATGCGCACGCACAGACACGCACACATTCTAACTCATGCGCACGCACAGACACGCACACATTCTATCTCATGCGCACGCACAGACACGCACACATTCTCATGCGCACGCATGCACAGATTCTAATTCACGTGCACGCCCAAATACACACAGCTTCTAACTCACGCACGCACACACACACACACACACACACACACACACACGCACGCACGCACGCACGCACGCACACACACACAAACACGCACGCAGAGAGAGAGACACGCACGCGCTCAGAGAGAAACACGCACTCACAGAGTCGCGTACGCGCACAGAGAAACACGCACGCACGCACAGAGACACGCGCACGTACCAGAGACAGACACGCACGTACGTGCGGACAAGCACTACATACACCGCGTAGTTCCGCAGGGAGAGAGCGAGAGAGGTTGCATCGACAGCAGCGTGCTTCTCTGTGACGTGCGCATCACACTCTCGCAGCCGATCGCGTGTGCGACGTCAGACGAAGCCTCGTATATCAGCTACGGAGCTCGCATGCGGTCACGTGGCTTCACGCAGCGCTGGCGCTGTACTCGGCGCATGCGCTGTATAATGACCGAGCAGAGTAGAGTCAGAGCATGTAATAGTAGAGTAGAGTCGAGAAAGAGAGTCGAGCAGAGTAGAGTCATATAATTATATACGTATATACTCCTTATTTATATACGTGCTCTGGTCGAGTGTACGGTTGTGAGAGTTGACACCGGGAGGGGGCGCTCGCATAGCGCTTGCGCAACGTTCCTTGCGCATTTTTGCCTACTCGGCAAAAAATAACGTGTATGCTTACAAAGGCCGGCGTAAACACAGAGCGGAACCGTAGCATATCGAGATCGCATTATTTGTTTACTTCCCATTTTATTGTAATCAATGAGTCATCAGTTTTGTTGTAATCACGTGTGTAAATCTTCTAATCAACTATCTGCTTCTATCGTACTGATTTGACAAACTCCGACTAGGTAAAAGTCAACATAATAAGGTTTACATAAGCCTCACGCCCACCCACGCGTATTTATAACAAATCGTGCACACTACGCCATATTTGCATTAAAATTGTAAATCGTTGTTACTCGTGATTCTACAAATGCCAAAAGAAGAATGGAACAGTGAAACAACTGCAAACAGGTAAAAACTATGGCGGGGGAAAGGAAAAAGCAACTGCGAGCAGAAACGCATATGACGGCGGGGGAGGGGATAGCAATACCGTCACTCCGCGCAGCAACAGCAGCAGCAGCAACAGCAGCAGGAGCAGCAGCAGCAGCAGCAGCAGCTCTATTCAGGTTTCGATGGACGTGATGAGTATGCAACAGAAGTCATGGTCCCCGAGGCCACGCACGTGATGGACGATGCTTGCGTTGTCTCCTCACTCGTCGCTGTTGGTAAATAACAAGCTAGAAGCTGCCGTCTGTGTCTGTACATACAATACAATACAATACAATACAATACAATACAATACAATACAATACAATACAATACAATACAATACAATACAATACAATACAATACAATACACACATTAGCAAGCGACGTTCTTATATAACACGTAAATCGATGAGGGGTTGCTCGCGACAAACCACGCGCGCCGTCGCCAGAGCTGCGTCGCCAGAGCTGCTTGTCATTCAGCCGACGTTGTGATGAAGCGGCCGTAAAATTGCGCTCGACGGCAAGATTTAAAACCGAACCCTGCTACAGAGATCTCGCTGAGCCTCATTACTAAGAGTAAAGCAGATTAAAGCTATATCTTATATACTATTCATTAAAATTAAAATAATAAAAAAATTTTTTTTTTTTAATTATAAGCTTAAGGATTATATACAACGTTTTTAATTCATGATGTGCCAACGAAGCTAAATAGGAAACGTCTTTGGCCAGACGTAGGACTGAGGGTAACTGTAAGTTAACTGTTAGTTGGTAACTGTTAGCTTATAATAATTATATTATCTTAGCTGTATTTTCGTTAGGACCTGTGGCTGCTCAACGTACCCGCACGTGTGAATCATTGTTAATTCGATTAGTTTGTTATGGTACGAACAAAGCTAACCCGGTTATATAACGGTATATGGGTTAATGCGATTTGTTAAAGTCACCCAAGCATACAAACGCCAACCTGTTAGTAGTTAACATAATCTTAGGTACGCCTCAAGCTTACGTAGGCCTAGTTAATTTCTAATTATTAGTTAATTATTTGTTAATTACTTAGTCCCGGTTAAGGTTGATGCTGGCCTAATTAGTTACACGAAACCACTGACTACATCCAGGTATGGCAGATGCTTACTTAATTTGTTATAATTTAATTTTAAACTTGATGCAGAGATGCAATTAGATTTAATCCGACACTGACTCATATTGTTGTTGGCCAGAGTAGCTGACGCAACCATTGGCTATACCCATGCAGAGGTACATCTCATGCTTGCATTATTACTCATTACCTAATTTTAAACCTGATACATAGATGCAATTAGATTTAATCCGACACTGACTCATATTGTTGTTGGCCAGAGTAGCTGACGCAACCACTGGTTTTACCCAGGTACGTCTCATGCTTACATAATTACTCATAACCTAATTGTAAACCTGATACATAGATGCAATTAGATTTAATCTGACACTGACTGATATTGTTGTTGGCCAGAGTAGCTGACGCATCCACTGGTTATACCCAGGTATGCCTCGTGCTTGCATAATACGTCACATGCTTACATAATTACTCATAACCTAATTTTAAACCTGATGCATAGATGCACTCAAGAGCTAATAATACCTAGCTATAATACCTAGGTATGATTAACTCTTGACGCAATTAGATTTTCACCCGACACTGACTCAGCCCAACAGATTGTTGCTGGCCAGAGTACATAGCTAACGTAACCAGATGTAACTTCAGGTACGGTTCGTGTTTACAGAACAAGTTAATCTAATCCCTCCTGCTGCGGCTGATGCTCATGCCCATGCCGACCGAATTCGTTAACCGGACACCGACTAAGATTACGCTGATGCTGCTGACTAAAATGCAAGAGAACGTACGTAACCAGGGGTAACCACACGTGCGGCTCCTCCCCGCACTCAAACACGCAGGTATGGTTCAATCGAATGGTCACGAATGCACACTATCGATTACGAATAATTGCTGGGCAGGACAACACGACACAGGAAATATACTGCAGGTGTGTTTCGCCTCCACCGATTCGCACCTGTCCGCTAGTGGAGATTATGCTGTCAATGGGGACATCGCTGTTGTGCAATCATCGGCTCACGTGACTGTACGTCGGCGACGGAAATGCATTGATATGTAATCGTAATGGTGACAGATGAAGGCAGCCGGACACGAGCCGCGGCTTATATTGCTAATCTCTGACAGGTAACGCGAGCGATCAAGGCTCTCACCTTACACGCGCGCAATAGCCTTTTCATGCTATCTTCATATATCGCTGTGTGGGTGAGTGCGTGGGGGTGAGTGCGTTTGCTGGATGAGTAGATGGGTGAATTAATGCAAGGATGAATTAATTAACGAATGATTTTAATTATTTAATTAATTAATTAGCTGGTTAATTACATGAAGTGTCGTTACAACGATATATTATGCTATTAATCTCCGGCTTATCCGAACGCTCACCTGACACTCAGATGGGTCCGACTTCTCCTCCGACTCCGCCACACGAAGGCTTTCTTCCTCGGGCGCGATCGTGCGGTCATCCAGACGTATGGACTCGGTGTCTGGTAGCGTGCCCATGTTAGCCCGCGGGAACCGTCACCGACGCCTCATCACGGCTGTCGCGTCGATCACACATTTCTCGGTCATCGCATGTCCTCGAGATGGCTGCGGCTACCGCATGCGGTTGAAGCACTCGCTGCCACGCACACACACACACGCACACACACACACACACACACACACCACACACACACGCACGCACGGCAACGCACGCACGCAAAGCGACACACAAACAGCACGCAGAGAGAGAGACAGGAGCACTGCGCTGCAGCGAGAAACACGCACTCACCAGAGTCGCGTACGTGCGGCATCAGAGAAACACGCACGCACGGCACAGAGAACACGCGCACGTACGCAGAGACAGACGTACCGCAGCGTATCGTGCGGACAAGCACTACATACCCGCGTAGTTCCGCCAGGGAGAGAGCGAGAGAGGTTGCATCGACAGCAGCGTGCTTCTCTGTGAACGTGCGCATTCACACTCATCGCAGCCGATCGCGTGTGCGACGTCAGACGAAGCCTCGTAATATCAGATAACCGAGCTCGGCATGCGTCACGGTGGCTTCACGCGAGCGCTGGCGCTCGTAACTCGGCGCATGCGCTGTAATAATGACCGAGCAGAGTAGAGCAGAGCATGTAATAGTAGAGTAGATGTCGAGAAGAGAGTGAGCAGAGTAAAGTCTATATAATTATATACGTATATACGGTGTGTTGATATACGTGCTCCTGGTCGAGTGTACGTGTTGTGAGAGTTGACAGACCCGGGAGGGGGCGCTCGCATAGGGCTCGCGGCAGACGTTCTGGCGCATTTTTGCCTACTCGGCAAAAGAATAACGTGTATGCTACAAAGGCCGCGTATAACACAGAGCGGGAAGAACCGTAGCAATTATCGAGATCGGCATTATTTGTTTACTTCCCATTTTATTGTAATCATATGAGTGCATCAAGTTTTGTTGTAAACACGTGTTTAAATCTTCTAATTCAACTATCATGCTTCTATCGTAGCTGATGTTGACAACCGCGAACTAGTGTAAAGTCAACATAATAAGGTACATAAGCCTCACGCCGACCGCAGAGGAAACGCGTATTTATAACAAATCGTGCACACTACGGTGCGCATCTTTGCATTAAAATTTGTAAATCGTTGTTAACTCGTGATTCTACAAATGCCAAAACAAGAAATCGGAACAGTGAAACAACTGGCAAACGGTGAAAACTATGGCGGGAAGGAAAAAAAGGCTAACTGCAGAGGCAGAGAATCGCATATGACGGCGGGAGGGATAGCAATACGTCAGCTCCCTCCGCGCGCAGCAGCAGCAGGCAGCAGCAGCACTTGCATTCAGTTCGAATGAGCGTGATGAAGTATGCAGCGAAGTCCATGGTCCCGCGAGTTCCTACGCACGTGATGGAAGCGATGCTTGCGTTTCTGCCTCACTCGTCGCTGTTGGTAAATAAGCAGCTAAAGCTGCCGTCCTGTGTCTGTTACATACAAAATACAATACAATCCAATCACAATATCAATACAATAGCAATACAGATCAGCATACAACTACAAGTACAATACAATACAATACAATACAATACAATACATATCAATACACATAGCAATACAAATACAATACAATAACCAATCAATACAATACAATGCAATACCAGATACATCGCAATACAATACAATATAATACAATACACTACAATACGAATATACAATAAGTACTATACAATACAATCATCAAAATACAATACAATACAATACAATATCATAACTACAATACAATACCAATACATGCAATGGCAATAGCAAATAAATACGATACAAATACAATACAAGTACAATACAATACATACTATACAATAAATACAATACAATACAATACAATACAATACAATAACAATACAATACAAAGCAATAAATACATGACAATACAATGCAATACAATACAATACTAATACAATAAAATACAACACAATGCGGTAAATACAATAGAAGAAAACGATGACGAACGCTTCTACGGATTATATTCCGAGGCAAACCAACCGTTAAAGAGCTTAACCGCCGTTAGAGCTTTAATATCTGTCATCGGCGTGTTGTCTGAGTCGGCGCACTAAATGCGCCAGCTATGCGCTTGTATGCACATGACACTCCAGAGCATCTGACAAGATCCGTCGACGAGCTGATCCGGGTTTGCTTACCATCGGAAAAAGCACGAGTCACGAATCGAGCAGTACCATGCACACGATGGCAATTTCAAGCCGACGTTTCAAGCCGTTCTCTGAGGATCAGGAGCCCGTTCTCAGAAACATCGTGAAGTTAATGCTAATGTTAATGCTAAGACTAGAACACTCGGAGAGCGCAGACCTCCGCCAAGGCAGCTCAATTCTCTCACTGTGGGAAATTTTATTAATTAATTGGATCGCGGATCAACCAACCAAATTGTAATCAGTTGTAAGTTAGCCCCATGTTCTTCCTATCCTTAAAAATTTAAGTTAATTTAATTAATTGGATCGATCAGCCAACCAAAATTAATCCAATTCTTAAGTTACCCATTTCTGACGCTATCTGAAAATTTTAATTAATTAATTAATTTGATCCGGATCATCAAATCTCATCAATTCTAAGTTAGCCTGATTTCTGACCTATCCTGAAAATTTTAGGCCACATCAGCTACCATAACTTTTTCAGTTAGGACCGTACGACAACCCCACGAAACGCCAACAAACACACGCCGAACAAACATACGCCGGTGAAAAGCATCAACCTCCTGCCCAACCCTTTGGCGTGAGCATAGCGTGGCAATAGCGTGGCAAAATCGTGGCAAGCGTGGCAAACGCCTTTAACAACAAGAGAAGCACGAATGCCAATACGGCCATTTTGTAAATGTAGTTTGTTTTTGTTTTATTAGCAGTAGATAATTAATGATTTGACGTGTTTTTCCCAAGAAAAACACATTTATTCATTATTATCAATATAATATCAGTTATAATTGTAATTCGTAAGTGTAAATATGTTATTAAAGCTTAATATTAAAGTTAACGAGAGGGTCTGGGCTCTCGTAATGTTAAGAGGATATTTTTGCGAGATTTTATCGTTCTCAGTAACATTTACGATGTTTCCTGTCAACGTTAACGGAGTGGAAGTTAATGTTAAAGCACTGATGTTAAGAGCTAATTTTGTTTCTGACAACGGGCCGCATATGTGCAGAATGCGCTGCGTAGAGGTGAGGGCCAAGCTAGAAGCTGGCCGTGCGTGTTTGTGGCGTGGCAAGATAACGAATTGGACGTACGGCCTAGACGTAGAAGCCGCGGTGCGGCTATCCTCCAGGTGGTACCTCTCAGGGCGGTGGATATGCGTCGAAAGACCTGGCTTGCAATACGGAAAAGTTGCGTTGAAGAGATGCATAATCGAAGGCGGTATAAGTTGGCCCGTCGCATTGCCAGTACAGTCGGTACAGACGGTAGAGACCCCGCACGCGACTTTATGCGCCAGATTTGCTAATGAATCACCGCGATCTTTGTGATGTCGGCTGGCTTCACGTACGGCGTAACATAAATACCAGGCAGGCTGCTTCATGCGAGGGACCTTTTCTAACAACAACGCGTTACGTGTGCATGCGCGTGCGCTGGTATCTCCTCGCGTGTGTATGAATGTCTCGCGTCTCTGTTTACCACTCGGCCATCACTCTCTTCTTTTACTCCTTGCTGTGCGCTCAATCTGCTTCTCCTCGCGTATGCTTTGGGAGCGGCATGTGCGTTGGTTTGGCTTTTCTTTTTTTGTTTGATATGTTGGTTTGGTGTGTGGTGCGTGCGTGTGTGTGTGCGTGGCGTGTGTGTGTCTGTGTGTGTGTGTGTCGTGTGTGTTTGTGTGTGTGTTGTGTGTGTGTTGTAGTGTGTGTGTGTGCATGTGTGTGTGTGTCTCTGTGGTGTGTGTGTGTGAGTGTGTGTGTTGTGTGTGTGTGTGTGTGTGTGTGTGTGTGTGTGTGTGTGTGTGTATGTGTGTGTGTGGTGTGTGTGTGTGTGTGCTGTGTGTGTGTGTGCTATGTTGTGTGTTGTGTGTGTGTGTGTGTGTGTGTGTGTGTGTGTGTGTGTGTGTGTGTGTATTGTTTGTGTGTGCGTGTGTGTGCGTGCAAGAGAGAGAGAGAGGGGGGAGGGGCGAAAGTGAGAGAGGAGACGTAGAGAGTGGGTGGGCATCAGACAGCGAGAGCAGGGGAGGGGGCGAGTTTCAACTGAGTGATATTAGATACGCAGTAGCTTTTTAAAGAAATAATAATAGAATCACCTAAAAATTTCTAACAAAGTGCCAAATTATTTGCTATCTTCTACGGCCACCATTCTATTTTCACCTTTATCCAGAATATTGCATGCATCAAATGCTTTAGCAGCTGACGTCATGCGTAAGTATAAGTAATGATTGATGTTGATGTCATCGTGCGCGATCTTAGCGGACAGCTATGCGTAAAAATAATTAAAGGGCGGCTACAAAGGTGTAGCATTTGATCGTGTAGTAGGTCTCAGGGGAGAGATAGTGAATATAGAAATAATGTTGTGGATATAGAATATCACAGTTAAGCCCTACGGCCTAACCGGCTAACGCCTAACCCTATCCTAATTCTAAATAAAAACAAAATTCGCCAAAATTAATAAAAGCTAAAATAAATATAAGAGACAAAATTAGCTCATCAGAGCCGTCCCCTAGGGCGATCATTATTCGCCCTGTGGCAAATTCAGGGATTTGTTGTGTCTTGCGCGCACGCCCTATTGTTCTACTAGGATAACACCCTTTGTTTAAATCATTCATTAAACAAGAGAGAACCTATTCAATATTTGGTTTTCTATTACAAAAAATCCTTTTTGTTAAAATCAGCTTGTAATCTCTTAAATAATAAGACAGAAGGCCGCAATGGCCTTAACAACATCGCCCACGATTCGCCAGCAACGGCATGTCAACGTTATGTAGATTGGTCGGACGCTAGCGTCGGCGACGCCATGAATTATTACTTATGAGGGCAGTATATCAATTT